GTTTGAGAGAGGAGTAAAGGAGGCCATCTTTGTGAAAAGAAATCGTCCATCATTAAACAGGGGTGGAGGCCTACGTGTTCAACTGTCCCCCTCTTACAATGCTGTGATTGCTAGTATCACTCAGCCCTCTGTGAACAGTAAACAGCCATCAGTGTGCTAATGATCCATTGTTATGCTGATGGTTCTTCTTGAGCATGTGATCAGCTGGTTTTGGTTGTCAGCAGCAAAACTGGTTGATCCACCCTGAGACGGTGCTATTTAAGAGACTGAGCTGAATACAGCTCCTCAGACTGAGGAAGTCTCTCGGATGAGAGACGAAACGTTTCTACATTTTTTTGTTGATTTGCTTTGTTTTTTGTTTTTTTTAATGTCCAGAGGACCAGATTTAACTTTTTTAGATTTTTCTACCTGGATTATTGAGCATGCATCAGGATAGAATAATCACTGTGAAAAACCATATCATGTTGCTGCTGATCTGTTTCATGTTGCTGCTGATCTGTTTCAATGTTGATGTGTTCATGCGTGCACATCTGCTCACAGACTCATGTTCATGTTTGTGCTGATGTTCAATGTTTTATGTTATGAGTGCTTAGTGTATATTTAGTTGATGTTTTTCTTAGTTCATATCTTAGATGTTATTACTGTTTTTCTTATACATTTTATTGTTGGATGTAACTGGGACTTTGTGTACATAATTTCGCTCCACCACATGTACCACATGAGGTGCGAATGACAATAAAGAAACACTGACTCTGACTTCTTCTTCTACATGTTGGTCTTCAGCCAAATCAGAAGATGCTGATATCTCCTTTGCCTCCACCCTCTGTGTCTCTAGAAGTCAGGTGAGGAAGCAGCTGGAGAGACTGAACCGAAATAAGGCTGCAGGTCCAGATGGTGTCAGTCCCAGAGTCCTGAAGGTCTGTGCAGAGCAGCTCTGTGGGATTCTGCAGCACCTCTTTAACCTTAGCCTGACCCAGGAGAAGGTTCCAGTGTTGTGGAAGACATCCTGCCTTGTTCCAGTACCAAAGAAAACTCACTCATCAGTCCTCAATGACTATAGACCTGTTGCCCTGACATCTCACATCAGGAAGATCCTAGAGAGACTCCTGTTGGCCCACCTGACTAAACAAACAAGCACATATCAGGACCCACAGCAGTTTGCTTATCGACGTGGACTTGGAGTTGAAGATGCCATCATACGCCTGCTTCAGCAAACTCACTGTCACCTAGAAAAGGCAGACAGCACTGTGAGAGTCATGTTCTTTGATTTCTCCAGTGCATTTAACACAATCCAGCGTGATTTGCTTTGTCAGAAACTCCAGAAGACTCAAGTGGAGGCCTCAACAATCACCTGGATCAAAGACTAACTGACAAACAGACCACAGTTTGTGAGACTGAAGGGTTGTGTGTCTAACCAGGTGGTCAGTAGCTCAGGAGCACCACAGGGGACTGTACTCTCACCATTCCTTTTCATTCTGTACACCTCTAATTTCCAGTACAAAACAGACTCCTGTCATCTGCAGAAATATTCAGATGACTCTGCAGTGGTTGGGTGTATCAGAGATGGACAAGAAGCCGAGTACAGGGATCTGATGGACCACTTTGTGGCATGGTGTGGAAACAATCATCTCATCTTGAATGTGAACAAAACACAGGGGATGATTATAGATTTCAGGAGAAACAGTAAGAGGTCCAATCCTATTTCCATCAAGGGAGAAGAAGTGGAGGTGGTGGAGAAGTATAAATACCGTGGGATTCACCTGGACAACAGACTGGATTGGAAATGCAACAGTGAAGCCATCTACAAGAAGGGACAGTGTATACTGTACTTCTTGAGAAAGCTGAAGTCGTTCAATGTTTGCAGTAAGATCTGTTCTGCCATCATCTGCTGGGGGAGCAGCACCAGAGCAAGTGACTTAAAAAAGATCAACAAGCTCATAAAGAAGGCTGGCTCAGTTCTGGGGACTCCTATAGAACCTTTGGAGATGATTGTTCAAAGGAGGATTCTTCATAAAATGAAGAACATTATAGACAACCCTCAACACCCTCTTCATCAGACTGTCATACAACAACAGAGCGTCTTCAGTCAGAGGCTTTTTCAGATCCATTGTAAGACAGACCACTACAAGAAATCCTTCCTGCCCACAGCCATCAGGATCTATAACAATTCAAATAAAACCAGGACGATGAGTTACCACATAATTTAATTTCCCTCTGGGATCAATAACGTATTTTTGAATTTGAATTGAATTGGAATTTGAACCCCTCACTGCCTCTAATGTGTCCCATTGGTGTATGAATGTGATCTAAAGCAATAATTAGTCTCTACAGAGTCAGATTATCTTTGTAAAGATGAAGGAGAGTGCTGTACGAATGTGTGTGCAGTAGAGTGCTGTATGAATTTATGTGTTTCGTAGAGTACTGTATGAATGTGTGTGTAGTATATTACTGTATGAATGTGTGTGTAGTAGAGTGCTGTATGAATGTGTAGTATAGTACTGTATGAATGTGTGTAGTATAGTACTGTATGAATGTGTGTAGTATAGTACTGTATGAATGTGTGTAGTATAGTACTGTATGAATGTGTGTAGTAAAGTGCTATATGAATGTGTGTGCAGTAGAGTGCTGTATGAATGTGTGCATAGTAGAGTGCTGTATGAATGTGTGTGTAGTAGAGTGCTATATGAATGTGTGTGCAGTAGAGTGATGTATGAATGTGTGTGCAGTAGAGTGCTGTATGAATGTGTGTGCAGTAGAGTGCTGTATGAATGTGTGTGTAGTAGAGTGCTATATGAATGTGTGTGTAGTAG